CCTACCTACCTACCTACCTACCTACCTGGAAGTGGATCTGTGGCTCAAGAAATAGAGTACCAGCCTTAAGCAGAAAAAGCTAAGGGACAGTACCCAGGCCCAGAGTTCAAGCCCTAATACTGTGGGGGAAAATAAAAAGCAAAAGGAGGATAATGGTGTAGCTCAAGTGGTAGAGTGCCTGCCTGCCTAGCAAGTGTGCAACGCTGAGTTCAAACCATCCCCATCCAAATAAGAAAACTAGTTTTGTTTGTTTACTCTTTAGAGAAAGATTCTTGTTTCTATCTCTCTTGGCAATCCTCTCTCCTCAGCCTTACACAGAGGCAAGAACACAGGCATGTGCCATTATGCCAGATGACTATAGTCTCTATAACATTACTCTGTGCTAAAATAATCTCCTGGAGAATATATGAAACAGATCAATATTAAAATATGAAAATATTTTATGCCCAGAAAACCTTGTTACCTGCAATGAATCCAACTACCAGATCTTTTCCAGTAGTAGAACGTTGGCCTTTGGCCCAGACTGCTTTGAGGCTATTAAAGGTGTAGAAATAGACAAAATTGGAGCAGCAGAGACTGGAAATAACTGGAAACCACCCTCGATATGGTGCCAGACTGGAGGGAAAAACACAGAAGGTAAAGTAAAGGTTATGGACAATAGCCAAACATTTAGAAACCGCTAGAGACATCTTAGGAAAGGCTGACCTGCCCTCATGTACTCAAGAATCACTCCTACACTATAAGGGACTCCAGATCATATACACATAACATTGTGAAGACATCCAAATCAAGAAATCCTTCCTAGCATTCATGATAAAGGAAAAACTACACAAAGATAACAATTACTTGCTAATTTCTTCTACTAACTGACTGTAGTAACATTAGTATGTAAAACTGAAGACAAGCTCACTATTGCCCATATTATTATTGCCCAAGAGGTCAAGAATTTTTTTTAAAAGTTTTCTAAATTAATTTTATGCTTTTCCTTCATTAGCATTTCTTTCTTTCCTTTTCCTTTCTCTTTTTCCTTTTCTTTTCTTTCCTTTCTTTTTGAGATAGGCTCTGGCTGTGTTGTACAGGATAGTCTCAAACTCCTGGACTTGAACAATACTCTTGCGTCAGCCTAATGATTAGCTGAGACTGCAGATGTATGCCTCTGTGTCTGGTCAGCGAGGGCAAAAGCATTTAAAATTAACTTAATTATAGAAAACAGGCCCCACGACTGACCAAAAAAAAAAAAAGAGCAGCTTAACTGACTTTTGCAGGGCGCTGGTGGCTCAAGCCTGTCATCCTAGCTACTCAGGAGGCTGAGATCTGAGGATCTCAGTTCAAAGCCAGCTGGGATAGGAAAGTCCATGAGACTCTTATCTCCAATAAACCACTACAAAACCGGAAGTGGCGCTGTGGTTCAAGTGGTAGAGCGCTTGCCTTGAGCTGAAGAGCACAGGGACGGCGCCCAAGCCCAGAGCTCAAGCCCCATGACCGACCAAAAAAAAAAAAAGAAAACAGGTGCAAAAAACCCTCAAAAAACCAATGGAGCATGTCAGAAAGACACAAAACTAAAGTGAAGGGACTCCTACTGATCAAATCTGAGACAATGTGAGCACTAAAGTAGTAATCAATCAATTGCAAGCCCCTAAAAAAGAGGCATGTCTGAGTCCATACTAGTAATAAGTAAATAGAAGAAGGGAAGGAGCAAGTTCCTATTTACCACTGGTGAATGGGGAAGCAATGGTGGAGATGAGAAATTGCCATTTATAATTTCATGATAAATTCAAAGAAAAACTTTGATTTCACCACAGAATGCTTACAGTTAAAAGAGAATTTTTTAAAAAGTAACAATATGTGATCAAAGCACATGTAAGAAATCCTAAGTAACCAATGGAGAGCAAGCAGATTTTATGTGACTATAGACAGGACACCTTGCAGAGGGTATACTATCTATGCATTAGTGTTATTTTTGGGTGGTACTAGGACTTGAACTAAGGGCCTTGGGCTTGCTAGCAGGTGCTCTACCACTTGAGTCATGCCTCTCTCTAGTCCTTCGTGCTTTATATTATTTTTCAAGTAGGGTCTTGACAGTTTAGTTTGTGGCCAGTCTCTTTCAGAGATCCTCCTATCCATGTCGTTAGAGTACCTGGGATCAAAGCCAATGAATATCATGCTCAGCTAATTGATCGAGATAGTGACTTGGTAACTTTTTGCCCAGACTGTCTTGTACTGTGTGATTCTCTCAACCACTGTCTCCCAACTAACCAGAATTAAAGGCATGAGCCACCAAGATTAAAAAAAAAAAGATGAGATCTCATTACATTTTCCAGGCTGTCCTTGAACCTAGGCTAAGACTTCCTGCCTTAGCCTCTAGAGTAGCTAGGACTATAGGTGTGTACCACTGTACCTGTTTTTTCATTACTCTGTCCAAGAATGTATAACCTTAATATAATTCTAATATGAAGAACCATGAAGCTAACTTCAGGGTGCTGGTGACTGATGCCTGTAATCCTAACTACTCAGGAGACTGAGATCTGAGAATAGTGACTCAAAGCCAGCCTGGGCAAAAGAATCCGTAGCACTCTTTTTTTTTTTTTGGTCAGTTGTGGGGCTTTAACTCTGGGTCTGGGCATTGTCCCTGTACTCTTCAGCTCAAGGCTAGCACTGTACCACTTGAGCCACAGCACCACTTCCAGTTTTCTGGAGGTTAATTAGAGATAAGAGTCTCATGGACTTTCGTGCCCAGGCTGGCTTTGAGCGGTGATCCTCATATTTCAGCCTCCTGAGTGGGTAGGATCATAGGCACCTGGTGTCTATACTTCAATTAACCAGCCAAAAGCCAGAAGTGGAGGTAAAGTTCAAGGAGCAGAATGCTAGTTTTTTTGTTTTGTTTTGTATTTTTGTCTGTAGTAGGGCTTGAACTCTGGGACTGTGCGCTATCCCTCAGCTGTTCAGCTCAAGGTGAGCACTCTATCACTTGAACCACAGCGCCACTTCTGGTTTTCTAGTGGTTCATTGGAGATAAGAGTCTCACGTACTTTCCTGATCAGGCTGGCTTTGAACCGTGATCCTCAGATCTCAGCTTCCTTAGTTGCTAGGATTACAGATATCGGCATCTGGCTCAGAGTGCCAGTTTTGAGTAAAAAAGCCAATGAGTGTGCCTGGCCCTAAGTTCAAGCCCCAGTACTGGAAAAGAGAGAGAAGAGAGAGCGCACAAGCGAGCTTAAGGCCCTGAATTTAAGCCCCAGTACCAGTACACATATGTACATGAATACACACACACACACACACACACACACACACACACACACACACACACACACACACACAGAATCAACACAACATTGTAAGGCTATGAGATTTAGGGGTTAGAGGTACAGAAATCTAACAAGCTGCTCTAACACAGTTGTAAACTGAGATGAACTTACAGGCCTTCTTCCTTAATGATCTCCAGGAGCACCATGTGTGTAGTTTTGGACTTTCTTTTCTCATCAACTAAAACAACCAAGAGCACATGTTTTAACTTTAAACATTCTTATCTCCAGCATCAGAAAGTTTCACTGAAATGCCATTTACCTCACCTGAGTAGTCTTTCACCCTAGATCCCTAGATCACCCTAGATGTTCCTATGTAACGATTTGCTCAATTCCCAACTGCTGATTCCTTGGATTTCATCTGTTACTTAGAAAACATTTTTATTCAGTTGTTAGTTTCCACAGTAATGCAGAAATTGATAGTTATTTCTAATATTTTGTAGTGAAATATGGATACTGGATCTAAGTAATACCATCTTGTCCTCACCACCATCTTGGTGTCTTAATAGATAGGGAATTTTCATCCAGTTCCAAGAACTCTAGAGGGGATACAGGACTTTCTTTTAATCATAGCTGTGTTATGTGTTGTTTAGCAGTACAGAGGTGATATTCTTTGAACTGTAGATGTGTCATGGGTTGTTTAGCCCCAGGAAAGTTTTGCTCCGGAGAATACTTGCCCTTGGTGATCCCTGATTGTTTCCCCCTGGATGGCTCCTGATTATTCCCCCCAGATAGCTTGCTTTGCTACTGTAAAACATATTTTCTTAGTCCCCATACCATGTGACATTGGTCTTGATGTGGTTTTTGCCTTTATAAGCTTTGTAATAACTGCATTTGATATTGCAAGTTTTGGGGAACCATGAGTCTGATTGCAATCACTGGCTTTCTAATAAAGACTCCCAAAATAAAGACCTTTCAAAATGTGGCTTTTCTATCTCTGATCAAATTCTCACACAACACTTTTTTGTGTAAATAAGGGAGCAAATTAGGAAAATTATGTGCTTGGTGCTCAGGGAACTAGGAAAGGCTGGCACTACACAGTCTCAAGGTCCATTCCTACACTATAGACTGTGCACTAACCTTGTGGTCCTCTTTCTTTTGTTCTGTTATTTCTTCCTATTTCTCTCCAACTTTCCTTCCCCCTCTGACATTTTTTATGTCCTGCCTTCCCACTTTCTCTCAGACCCTTCCAAGTGACATTGTCTAAGTATTTTCTCACCATATTAGTTAATCGAGCTCAAATCTCCAGGGCTCAAACTATCCTCCTAGCTCAGCCTCCCATGTAGCAAAGACTACAGGTAAGTACTGCTGCACATGGCTATACCTTACATTCTGAAGGGTATCCAAATTAAGAAACCTTCCCTATCACTGATAATATCTAAGAAACAATACAAAGTCAATGTTTAGTAAAGTGAAAAAGAATGGAAGGGGAGACTATATATTATACTAATATATTTATATATGTGTTTTATGTTATATGGTATATATTTATATATTCTTACGTAGGTTAATATATAGCCTTATGAATCATATAAAATTATTATTACTTTTTTTTTGTTGGTCATGGGGCTTGAACTCTGGGCTTGGGCGCTGTCCCTGCGCTCTTCAGCTCAATGTCAGCGCTCTACCACTTGAGCCACAGCGCCCCTTCCGGTTTTCTAGTAGTTTATTGGAGATAAGAGTCTCATGGACTTTCCTGCCCTGGCTGGCTTTGAACTGAGATCCTCAGATCTCAGCCTCCTGAGTAGCTAGGATTACAGGTATGAACCACCCGCACCCGTTGATAATAATAAAATTATTATCAGTCCAAAATCTCTCTTTATTCTTGGTCACTCATGGGGGCTCAACTCTGGGCCTGGGTGCTGTCCCTCAGCTCTTCAGCTCAAGGCTAGTGCCCCACCACTTGAGCCACATCACCCAGTTCCACCTTTTTTCTGCTTCTGTGGTGCTGAGGAATTGAACCCAGGGCCTCATGCACGGTAGGCAAGCACTCTACTACTGAACCAACTTCCGAGCCCCACAAAACTCTTAATTAACCACAAACAGGAGGTATAAAGGGCTTAACCTTTGAGTTTTTTTGTTCTTTGTTGGTAGTGGGGCTTGAACTGTGGGCCTGGGCACTGTCCCTCAGCTCTTCAGCTCAAGGCAAGCTCTCTACCACTTGAGCCACAGTACACTTCTGGTTTTCTGGTGGAGATAAGTCTCACAGACTTTCCTGCCTGGGCTGGCTTTGAACCGTGATCTTCAGATCATTCAGCCTCCTGAGTAGCTAGGATTACAAGTGGGAGCCACCGGTGCCCGGCTTGAGTTTGTATTCAAAGCTAATCTTCTATGCCTTTTTAATGCAAGTTCTGGCACTGGTTTATAATTTCAAATTGAAAAAATTTGAGGGAACAAGCAAGCAAGAATTACATATGGTCAGTAGAACAATAGGCTTAAACTGGCAACAACAGTGAGTATTAGTTCCACTGTTTCTGACGAAAACCTCATTCTCTGAAAGAACTCTGCCCAAGCCTTTGAAAATCATGGCTGTAGATGTAGCTTAGTGGTAGAACACTTAAACTAGTATGCATGAGGTCCCAGGTTTGACCCCACACACACACACACACAAAAACCCACAACAAAACCCAAACCAAACAAAGAAAACTTCCTATCCTATGGCTTATCAGAAAGAACTGCAGGGACCTGCAAATTTAATGCAAGCCCACTCACGTTCTCTCAAATTACAAAATGTCTAAGTCTATGGCTCATCCACATATGACTCTGTTCTTTAGGGAACAATGGTGGCCAGTAGTTAAAAGTCGGTGAAAAGAGACAACAGAGATCTTTAAAAAAGCATAACATCTCTATCCTAAGGTAGAGTTTATTAGAGAAATACATTTGTTCCCTACACCAAAAGAACACCAATATGACTAACACTCACCCTGAAGTCGAAGTCTAGCTGTATCCAAAGGGAAAAACACTGTCATGGCAGTCATGCTTCCCTGAAAAGTTTAAAAGACACTTTAATCATCACAGTATAAATATGAGCCATAATTTATTTATTTTTATTTTTTTGGTTCTGCGGCTTGAACTTTGCACTGTCCCTGAGCTTTTTTGTTCAAAGCTAGTGCTCTACCATTTGGAGCCACAACGTCACTTCTGGTTTTCTGGTGGCTAATTGAAGATAAGAGTCTCACAGACTTTTCTGCCTGGGCTAGCTTCAAACTGCAATACTAAAGACCTCAGCCTCATGAGTAGCTAGGATAACAGGTGTGAGCCACCAATGCCTGGTTAGAATCCTATTCTTTTTTTTTTTTTTTGGGGGGGGGG